TACCCTTTGTAGAATCCTTTTTGGAAGGCTTTGTTTCGGAAAATCCCTCCATGTATACATTTGTAATATGTTCTTATTGACTCTTTCTGTTCTACATTTTGGTGGTCTGTTTAATCCCATTTTAGGATGTTAATATTTATATTTTGTCATAGTTTCTCATTTCTGAACCTTGTTTTGACTTTCTTTGTTTCTTCCTGAACTGTATTATGTGGTTTAAGTTGATACTTAATTATGGCGACAGCCAGATCGAATTTGATTCTCTGGTGGGTGGTACGTTCGTCTGGACTGGAAGGGTGCAATATGGATCAAAATTTGAGGCCCCTTCCAGAATTGGAAACACTTTGTGTTATTATGGCAAGAGTAACTGTTGTAATATTACTTTAGTAACGATATATTTGTACTCATGATTATTAATAGAACCGTTACTTACTCAGGTCAATTGCTTTTTTTGGGATTTAACTGGACAAGGCGCGTATCTAAACTTCCTGAACCGTTATTACAAAATCAAAATTCTGTTTTGATTTTAGTCACTTCAGAATCACTGTCGAGTCATGAACGTGAGGGAACGGGTAACGGTGTGCTGTGGATTTCGTGTCCATTCGCCGGTCCGACGTCAATCGTCGCTTAAGTTTTTCGGGACCATAATCAACGGGCATGTGCATGGTTTCCTTGACTATTGGATAATCCCCAAATCGATTATATGGCTGAATTAGTTATTCGTTTGTCGAAGCATTTCAGTAGTTGCTGGGCGTTTGAAAACAGGTAGTCCTGTAGTTGTTATATGATATGCGACGTCGCTGGTTATACATAATAACTACTGTTATTTGGTACAGTTCTGAGAATTGTCGACCACTTGTCGAAAAAACTGTTTGGCCGGGAATGAAACTCCGAAAATAGATAATTTAGTAATACCCAATACTAACCTTTGTTTACACGCGTTGGGGGAATAGAATATGTTCTTGTAACAGGTCTATACTGTATAATAATAATATTTATAATTAATATTATTATTATTATATATTTATTCTCAAATAACTGCGTTACAAGAGTCACACCAGTATACAGGCTAGATCAAATTGTTACAAATGATGTCACAGTTACTGTAAAAGTTATAGCAGTTAAATTAAGTATAAGAGTCAGTTTCTGATAGCATATTTACACCATGTAAATGACAGAAACAGTATATATATATATATATATATATATATATATAAGAATTTATCTTTATCACAAACATAGGTGCCATGCAGAATGAACGACGGTGTAGTTTAGTTATTCCCAGGGAAACCCGCTGTTGCCTCTTCATCGTATCTGCCTACGCTCCCACTGACTGCAGTTCAGACGAGGTGAAAGATGAGTTTTACAGAAAGCTTTCGGACCTCCTCCAAAAAGCTAGGCGCTCTGATATAGTTATAATGGCTGGTGACGTTAATGCTCAAGTAGGTAGACTAAGTGAGCAGGAAAGACACATTGGTGGATGTTATGGTGTCGTGGCTATTTGAATAGACAATGGCGACCGTCTGTAGCTACTGTGTTCAGATAATCGCCTATTTCTAGCAAACACTAACTTTAGGCATAGAAAAGAGCATCTTTCGACCTGGCGACCCCCAAAGTCTTCTCAACGCTGGACTCGACTAGATCACATTGCCATCAGCCACCGATGGGGAGGTTCGACAGAGGACTGTCGCTCGTTCTGAAGCACGTGCTTAGATTCAGATCATGCCTTTGTGCGAGTGCGTATTTGTTTGAAGCTTACTGGACGTAGGAAAGACACCGCGAGGAAACCTCTTAGGGTTCTGCTTAATGATAATAAAGCTAAGAATATTTTTCAGGAACAACTAGAAAAACAGTTAGGCGGCCATTTAAGCGATTCCAATCCGGAGGCAGGTTGGAACGATACTAAAAAGGCTGTGAAAACAGCAGTGATATCTTATAGTAAGGTAAACCATAAGCCTAGGAAGAGGCCGTGGATCTCAGTAGCATCTACCGAACTGATAGACGCTCAGATCTCATCCCTCCTGGCTCTGACGACGATGAGAAGCGGAGTCAGCTCAGGCGCATACTGATAAAAGCCTGTGCAATGAAAGCGAACAGTGGTGGGTGGAGAAAGTAAGAGTGATGGAAAAGGCAGCGGCTATAGGCAACAACAATAGACCATTGTTCCGACTCATCAAGGAAACCGGTATTAGGGGTCCAAATGTGAGTGAAACTTGAGTCAATTTCGGAGTAGACGAGATATCCGTCTACTAACCAAAGCGATGGTTAGAGAGCTTGATCGACATGGATCAAAATCGTTTGCAGCGGTGCAGGTGCATCCACTCTTTATATTCTCTGAAATTCTAATCTTCTGAATTCCTCATCACCTCTATCTTTCTCTTCTAAAGTTATCTCACTGAATTATACTCATTGAATGATATCTTCGAATCGTAATCTTATACATTAGGGTTTATTCTTCCACAGTATCTACCACTATGGGATTTGAACTTTGTGGTGTGGCAACCTGAACTGATGTTCGTACGTACGAAGCTCTCAGTTGTAACTGACTGACCCACGTCCAAAATGGTTAACCAATTTAGTGGTTTCGCAGTTGGGTCTAGTCATTTGTCTCGAAAAAGCTCTCAAGTGTAAACTGTCCTGGAAAATTTTACCATAGCTTCTTGTTTGGCCTGATCTTTCTATGTCATATATGACTAACTTCCGTAATATGGCCAGAAAATCCAATGGCGCCCTGCTGTTTGATGTACGAGAATAGTCTTTTAAGCTACCTGATTATAGATTGTGGTAATTGCTTTTCTTATCAGCATGTAACACCTCTTTTTATTTCTTGTGCCAAGGTTGATGGCGACGTTCCAACATTTTTTCTTGTCATAGTAAACGTAAAATCTTCCTGTTCATCCAAGGATAACCATATTTTTTCTCTGCAGCTGTCTAGGGTATAAATGGTTGAGTTACTTGAATGTATAACTACTGGAATTAAGTTCATGCCTCTCCTACGATTGCTTTGGAGTCAATATTTCAGTTTTCCATTAAGGCTGAAGAGTTAGTCGCCTTCATATTTTCCTTCCATGTGTTGGGATGGGACAGCGCATCTGCTCGACATACCATATCGGAAATGAACTGGAATAAAATGATCTCGTGGTCATTCCTGACTGACTGGTGTATCTTTTGAGTTACTGTTACATCTGCTTTACATGCCTTAGCTGGAATGTTGTCCGGTCCCATGGATTTCACGCTGTTGATTTTCCTGATATCCATGCTGATCTTTTCGAGTGTCGAGCTGGTGGTTTCATGAGTCATTCGAACTGCTCCACCCGCCTGTTTCCCTGTGCTTCAATTTTGGTGATTACTGTGATTTTCTTGCTTTTCATTGGCGTTCAGATTAATGATAGTTTCCAGCGAGTTTCTTTGCTTTATCATGTTTCCTTCTCTTACAGCCTTTTCCGCCGTCATTGCTAGATCTTCTTCATATGTTCTTCAGTTCTCATGCTCCTCTTCATCTGTTTTTTTGTTTATGTGTACTCAGCTTGTGCCCTGGCTTTCCCTGGCCTTGTTCTGCTGATCTGCATTGCTGCTTTCTTGTTCCGAATCTTATCGAGAGTATCAACAGAAATCCATCCCTTGTGATGGTGCTTCCTAGGGCCCAAAATCTCATGATATGCTGAAGTTGTTAATATGAGTGAATGACTTGTTTAGCTTACAGATAATTGGGGAATCTTGTATTGATATTAGATAATTCTGATTATATTTCCTTGACAATGTTTGGGTTGATTTTGAGTTCCCTCTTGAATGTTTACCTTGGTCATATAGTTTCATTGTTCAGAGTGGTGAGTTCCACATTATTTTTTCTTATCCTTGTACGTTCCATTTGTCTGGTTGACCTTTCATTTTTCATATATATGTTCTTTACAAGATCAGATTGCTGTAATATATCACAGTTCTGATAACCCTCATCTTCCTATACACTGTCCAAATAGAAACTGGGGTTATAAATTCGATCACCTGAAGCTCCTGCCATACGAAGATGGCATCGAGCCCTAATGGGAAATGAAAAAGGTCAACTGTAGTAACTCGAAGTGAGCTTTCTTTTAATTAACCCGCTTACTAGACAGTTATTTCTGTCAGTAACAATTTACCTATTGCTTTCATATATATATACATACTTGTACAAATGTGTATGTATAATTGATTGTATGAGACAACCTACGCGTTTATTTCCCTTACTTACTTAAAAGTGCTTGACTACTCAATCCTAAGACCATAAATATTTGCTTGTTAAAGAATACTCATGAATTCATTTTTCTCAACATATACCTGCTGGTTGTTTGATTTAAGCTGTGATTAAAATAAAATGCTCCCATAACTCCGTCTCAACTTCTGGAAATTTTGCACAGATGAGTTACAGTGAAAATGGTTTCCAGGTCGATTATCATAAGAAGTATAGGAATAGAATCGAAAATATTGAACGACATACTCTCCTAGATATATGAGACGTGTTTTAATTGTCCGAACGAAATTTATAAAATGGACTAATTGTTTTAAGTTTACTAATAGAATTGACCAAAAATGTTTTATACAGTTTAAGATAATAAATAAAACAATTCATCAATCAATACAAGAAAGGATCATCAATTTATTGATTTAATAACGAACTAACATCTAGATAATTATTATGGGTAAAAAACGGTACAGATATTCAAAGTAGGCCATAGAGAAGAGCTTTCAAACAGTAGACCAGTAGGATCTTAGCTGTATCGGCTAAAAGTTAACGGTGCTGGTCAGCTGTATAACTGGTCTGAGATACCAGACTATTGGAGAAATAGTAGACGAGTAATAGACAAAGTTAGAATCAGAATTCCGATTAGTGACTTTAATATGTTTATGTATTTTGGTTGGAGTTTTATAATGCAACTAAATTAGCGTCAAGGACCACAGGGGAAATCCCCAATGGACTAGCAAATTCTAAAACAGTGAACACAAGAATTAATGAACCCATAAGTCTTCTCATCAAAAATGCATGTATTTAAAATATACGATTGATAATTTTGTACAGGTTACAAATGAAAAAAGGATTACGCTCTTCCCCACCCTATATCTTTACAACAAAATCATTCATAAATCATCACTCATTACACCAAACAATCGAATAACACCTTGATCTCGTTCATATTTTGCTTCACTTGAGTAACTCAACAAGTATTGTCGAGGATGCCAAGCGAGTACAAATGTAGCCGATGCATGTGTTCCAACTTGATAAACTTGTTCACCTGATGGGTTATTTTGAGAGGAATAAATAAATAAAATAAACACTTAATAATTAAGTTATTAGCTAATATAATCGGCAAGTCTCAAACCATCCACTGAACTAAAGCAGCAAGTTTCATTGAGCAACATAGTTTACATAAAGTAAAAAGATAACACAGTGGGTTTTCAAATTGGGGAAATCAATCAATCAACAAATGGATGAAGTATAGTGTGACTGACGAGAATGTGTGTCGGTCTAAGTTGCAGTACTTTACATGAACAGTGAAGTGAGATTAGTACATGAATATAGATACTAATATTAACAGGGCTCGAGGCTTATATGAATAAGTCAGATATGGTATTATCAGTCCTCATGAAAATTGTGACTTTGAATAAGTACACAAACTTGCCTAATAAGTCATTTTTAATTATTTATGTAAATTAACCTATTTCAACTGTAGAGTGTGCATTTGCTAACTATTGAATATTAATAATAGTTGTTTAATAATGATGTAATGGAGGCAAGTGGACTAATGCTACAGAATTTAATATGAAAAACAAGGACGATGTCTGATAGATAGGCTTTTAATTTCATTGGCGGATCAGTGACTTGAGGAAGCCTTATTTGACAACTGAGTATAGTTAGTCATGTATATTCCTATGTCAATATTTTGTACGTGTGTCACTTTACTAGAAGAGAAAGTTCTTTTCCTGGTCAGTTGACTATCGGAAGGCTTATGTAAATAATGATTAATTATCAGTAGACTACACTTTGTATTTATGAATGATTTGTTTCAATGACTAAACTGTGTATAACAAATCCCGAAAACCTCATTCATAGCAACGTTAAATTTTTTACGTACTTCACCGTAAAGCATCGTCTGACTTTGAAAAAAATTATCCTTTTAAAGTCTGAGGTTAAACAAGCTAATCTAATTTAATTATTCAATGCACATAAAATATAATACAGCTGTACACGAAAAAATGGAATGCGAAAAACTGAAGTTTATTTGAAAACTAGGATACGGCCAGGTGCCCAAATCAAACCGTGTTTCATTTTGGGGCGGCACTCGTAGAGCTTTAGACCCACATTATTAGATTGGAATTGAGGTTTGCCAACACTTCTACGCACACTTGAATTCCACCAACTTGACTTAAGTGTCTTACGTTCACTCTTTGTCCTCTCACTTTTGTACAGCCATGTGTGAAAGGACTTAAAGAGAGAGAACAAACTCTCCTCACCCTCACCACTGCATCTAAGATCAACCATTTGTCAGAGACGTTGTCCGTATATTCAGATAAAATCTGCACTTTCTGGCTGTGGAACAACAAATTTTTATAACAAACAGTATTAGAAGTCAAGACCTCTGATAAGAACAACCAGTCTTTAAGATTTACTTTAAATTAAATATAAGCATAATTAACTACAACTCAATGCTGTTCTATTTTTCACTTAGAGCTATGGATCACTGTTTTTACACACTGACGTCATGAATCAGTAATTGTTAGACCACCAATAGAAAATCGTTTGCAATGGAGCAGGTGCATCCACTCTTTATGTTCTCTGAAATTCTAATCTCCTTAATTCCTCGTAACCCCCATCTTTTTAAGTTAATTTCACTAAATTATCCTTTTTGAATGATATCCACGAACCCTAATCTTCTTCATTGCCGCCAATACTTTCACTATTCTACCGCTATGGGATTGGAACTGACAGTTACGTCTCTGTACTAATGCGATATGGCAGACCGAACTCATGTACGTACGTACGAAGTTCTACGTTATAAATGACTGACTGACCATTAGAAACCTGGAAGCACTGGAAAGACGTTTCCTGCTGGCATGGGACTCATCCACGGCTCCTACTACGCACAGGATTCGAACCCAGGAACTCCGGTCTCGGGCGCGAACACCTAGCCTCTGGACCACTAGACCAGCATCCAACGGTGTTAATGTCTAACTCTGATCAATCTAGGGATTAGGTCTAACAATGATTGGTTCGCGATTTCAATGTGTAAGAACACTGATCTCCATGACTCTAAATGAAAAATCATGCAATGTGCTCACTAGTGACTAGCTTCGTGAAGAAATTATCGGAGTTTCAATGACAAGACGTGACCAGTGGATTTCAATCCTGTCGGGTGTAGGAAGTAACTACCAAAAACAAATGGGTGAAGTTGCGCAAAATCTCTAGACCGATCAAAGTTAGACATTAACATCGTTGGATGCCGGCCTATTGGTCCAGAGGTTAGGCGTTCGTGCCCGAGATCGAAGTTCCTAGGTTCGAATCCTGCAAGTAGTAAGAGCCGTGGACGTGCGCTACTGATGAGTCTCATACCAGCAGGAAACGGCTGTCCAGTGCTTCCAGGTTTCTACTGGTGGTCTAACAATGATTGATTAATGGTTTTAATGTGTCAATACAGTTCGTTTTAATAAATAAGGAAATATAAAGGTCAAAATAAGATCTAATAGACATGACAGAACTCCATAGTGATAACTCATTATCTAGTAGTTTAAAATTATGACAATTCAGGTTTTCACTCAAATTCATCAATCCTGTATCAAAAGTCCCCTAACCTAAAAAGACATGTGATACCTCTAGATCAACAAAAAACAATATACGGAGATAGTTAGAACTATTTTGCTAATTCTGTGGAAGATCGAACTACTACTGTAAATTTATACATGGATTTACTTACTATTCATTCGATTAGCACTAATGAGTAGGTAAAAGTGATAATGCCACAACTCAAAAACCATTGATTGTGAATTTCTTAGTCCTACTGATAAAATATTAACATATGGATAAGATGTAATATTCAGATTTTATATTCATCTTACTTATAGTTAAACCAAAGGAAATATTTCTGCATACTTTCGCGTTAATTTACTAGAACCAGCAGAACTCAACGTCTCTAGTGTGAAGTGATAACCAGTAAAGTGCAACTGTTTCCAGTATGAGGCAAATAACCACCGAAGACAATGGATGAAGGTTGCGCAATATCGTGGATTGATTAAAGTGAGACATATAAACCATTAGATGCTGACTCAGTGGTTTAAAAATTAAGAGACCTGAAAGTCCTGGGTTCAATCTCCGGTTAGTTTATGAACGTGCACTTCCAAGGAGTTCAACTATAGTTAAGAACAACTTTACAGCATTTTCTGATTTTTCATGATTGCCTAGCCTAGACTGGTTTATAATTTCAATAGAATCTTAACCTCAAAATTGTTGCAGATTTTTAGTTTATGTGAAAAAGATAAAGGAGACACTATTACTAAGGTTACATGCTTGTTTGCATCCATAAATTAAGTATTTTAGCCAGCTTACACAAATTCATAGGTATCGAAACATTCATAATCGTATTATACTAATTGCAAGTTTAATTGTTCAGATACTTCAATTGCATTAGGAATTAAAGCCACAATTCTCACCTGTTTGCACATGGCCAATATCAATAAAATGATCTTCACTAGCTGCGGCGATTAACTTTCCATCATAAGAGAATCCCAAAGTACGTACAGGCCATTCTAAGCTAATGATGAAAGGAAATACAACAGAAGAATGATACTATTTGAGATTTACCACGTCTTATAACCACAATAGCCAGTTAATTTATGAGTTATGCTGAACGTAATACCTAGTAGAGATGTGTGTTGATCTAAGTTGTTGTTACATTACAGCACGATGAGATGAATTTAAAAAGACCTACCATAGTAATTGAAACATTGTAATACCTACGACAATGAGATAGATCAAACACTGAGAATACAATTCGATAAGTTGGAAAGGCCTTTTTAGAGAAATACTAAGACTAAAGATCGACAGGAGGATAAAGAATGAATATATCTTTATCACAAACATAGGTGCGATGCAGAATGAACGACGGTGTAGTTTAGTTATTCCCAGGGAAACCCGCTGTTGCCTCTTCGTCGTATCTGCCTACGCTCCCACTGACTGCAGTTCAGACGAGGTGAAAGATGAGTTTTACAGAAAGCTTTCGGACCTCCTCCAAAAAGCTAGGCGCTCTGATATAGTTATAATGGCTGGTGACGTTAATGCTCAAGTAGGTAGACTAAGTGAGCAGGAAAGACACATTGGTGGATGTTATGGTGTCGTGGCTATTTGAATAGACAATGGCGACCGTCTGTAGCTACTGTGTTCAGATAATCGCCTATTTCTAGCAAACACTAACTTTAGGCATAGAGAAGAGCATCTTTCGACCTGGCGACCCCCAAAGTCGTCTCAACGCTGGACCCGACTAGATCACATTGCCATCAGCCACCGATGGAGAGGTTCGACAGAGGACTGTCGCTCGTTCTGAAGCACGTGCTTAGATTCAGATCATGCCTTTGTGCGAGTGCGTATTTGTTTGAAGCTTACTGGACGTAGGAAAGACACCGCAAGGAAACCTCTTAGGGTTCTGCTTAATGATAATAAAGCTAAGAATATTTTTCAGGAACAACTAGAAAAAATGTTAGGCGGCCATTTAAGCGATTCCAATCCGAAGGCAGGTTGGAACGATACTAAAAAGGCTGTGAAAACAGCAGTGATATCTTATAGTAAGGTAAACCATAAGCCTAGGAAGAGGCCGTGGATCTCAGTAGCATCTACCGAACTGATAGACGCTCAGATCTCATCCCGCCTGGCTCTGACGACGATGAGAAGCAGAGTCAGCTCAGGCGCATACTGATAAAAGCCTGTGCAATGAAAGCGAACAGTGGTGGGTGGAGAAAGTAAGAGTGATGGAAAAGGCAGCGGCTATAGGCAACAACAATAGACCATTGTTCCGACTCATCAAGGAAACCGGTATTAGGAGTTCAAATGTGAGTGAAACTCTCTCGGAAAAGCATGGCTGTATCATTCATTCTCAACCCAGGAGATTGGATCGATGGGAAGAACACTTCACGGATCAGTTCAACTGGCCTTCAGCCACACCGGTTGCGCACAATCTCCAGCCATCATGAATGGCTATTCGACGTAAGTTGTCCGACTCTTTAGGAAGTTGAAAAGGCTATAGGAAATCTGAAGCAAGGAAGAGCAGCAGGGTCTGACAGGCTTAACATTGATATTTTTAAGGATGGTGGTCCAGTTTTAACAGTTAGATTGACTGAGATCTTAGGTAGAATCTGGCTACTGGACATAACCCCATCCGAGTGGTCTCAATCACTGATTGTCCCAATTTATACGAAAGGATCAAAGTCCTCTTGTGACAATCACAGGGGAATAAGTCTAACTAATATGGTATCGGAAATATTGGCCTCAATAATATCCCGACGCTTAATCAAAGCTCGTGAAGATCAGACTAGAGAAAACCAAGCTGGTTTCAGACCTGGACATGGTTGTATAGACCACATCTTCATACTACGACAGGTCCTAGAACATAGACAATCGTTCAGACGCCCCCTAATAGTAGTATGTCCCGACCTTAGGGCAGCATTTGACTCGGTTGATCGTGAAGTTTTGTAGCAGTGTCTATCATTGAAAGATGTACGAATGAAGTACATTAACCCTATACAAGCTCTTTAATCGAACACTACTGGTCGAGTGAGAGTTTATGGTGAACTTTCAACGGGATTCATTACCTCAATTGGTGTCCGTCAAAGCTGTCCACTCTCTCCATTCTTGTTTAATTTTGTCATAGACCTGCTTCTAGAGATAACATTATCTTCGTCTGAATTTTTAGGAGTGTGTTATCGGCTTTTAAAATCCAACTATAGAGCTCGGAGGAATATTAGAAATTGCCAGAATGAGTTGCATTGATTGGTAAGATGAATAAACTAAAATGTGCTTTTCGAAATAACTTCGTTGATAAAATTATTATACTCTTTGATACTTTGTCTGCTTAGTTTTTTTAGGATTTTTAATAACCTTGTTTGAAATCCCTGAATAAGAGCTCTTTGGATTCCCAGTCCTTTATTCAATAAGTTATCGTCAATCACCAACATACTATAGATGTCCAGTTAAAATAGTGCATACGGTTGAAATGGAATGTGAGTTAAGCAGCTAAGAAGTCCGACTTTTAGTCACTAAAATGCAGGTTAGAACTTTGCTTTATTCGTTTCAATATGAGCAAAAGGATAGCATTACTATTAGCTGTCAAATTTATAAAGTAGCTGGCAGTCAAGAACACGAATCTGTACCTGATGGACGAGCTAATAAGTAAAATATACAAATAGTTTAGACCTCAAAAAATGAAACTACCGTAAAGTTCATTAAACTCACCGAGATAATGTACGTAGGCATACAAATTCATCTGCATCCCAAATGGACACTAAAGCATCTGCACTGCCAACAGCAAACTGATGACCTGAGGGTGAAAACTGCAGGCACATTGCGTTGACTGGGTGAGCCTGAATACTTGCTTCACGTTTCATGTCACCTGGTTTCCCACTTTATAAAGACATTTGCAAAGAAAAGCGGCATCACAAAAATGAAAGTAGTGAAACGTTTTTTGTTCGTTTAGCATTGCTTGCACAGAGTAAAACTGATTTCCGTGAACCATATTTTAAAGCATTGTGCTTTATAACAAAGGCAAAGAAAAGGCTCAGAGAGTGCAAGTAATAAAACTTATCATCTAAAATAGTTAGTAGGTTAGATTTAGTTATACAGCTACGATATTCTTCCTGAACTGTTGTCGAAAATTCAAACGACAGTTTCGAAGATAGGACACGATGGAGCTGACTACTTGCTCAAATAGGCATATCTTAGTAACAAATATGTAGACGAAATGATATTTCTGTCTGTAAACACATATTTTTAATTATCGTAACATGACAAACTATTATACTACTGCAGATATCATCTCATTATCTAGTGTTCAATTACTTACTTACTTACTTAGTTATGCCTGTTACCCCCAATGGAGCATAGGCCGCCGATTAGTTTTCTCCAAACAATTCTGTCCTGGGCTTCCCTTTCCAGTTCTATCCTATTTTTGTTCATATTTCTCATGTCTCTCTCTATCTCTATTACTCGGAATAATATGTTTCTCTGCCTACCTCTTTTCCTTCGGCCTTGAGGGTTCCAAGAGAGGACTTGTGACGCAGTTGGTTGCTTTTCACAGTATGTCCTATCCACTTCCAACGCCACTTTCTGATTTCCTCCTCCACTGGAATCTGGTTTGTTCTCTCCCACAGTACGTTGTTGCTGACGGTGTCTGGACAACGAATCCGAAGTATTTTGCGAAGACAACTGTTCATAAATACTTGTATCTTCTGGATGATGCCTTTCGTAGTTCTCCAAGTATACGCTCCATACAGAAGAACCGTAATGACATTCGTGTTGAAAATCCTGATTTTGGTGTTGATTGATATTTGTTTGGAGTTCCAGATATTTTTCAATTGTAGAAATGCAGCCCTTGCTTTGCCGATCCTCGCCATCACATCTGCATCGGATCCACCTAGATTGTTGATGATGCTGCCAAGATATGTAAAAGTGTTAACGTACTCCAAGGCATCTGCATCAAGAGTGATTTGGTTGGCGCATTTGGTGTTGCATCGGAGAATCTTGCTTTTCCCTATATGCATGTTGAGTCCTACTGCTGTTGAGGCTGCTGCAACACTGGTCGTCTTCACTTGCACTTGTTGTTGCATGTGCCATAGAAGAGCCAGGTCATCTGCGAAGTCCAGATCGGCCACCTGCATCCTAGTTGTCCGCCGTATCCCAGATTTCCTCCAGATCTTTACCAATTCATAGTCCAGTCGATTACCAGAAGAAAGAGAAAGGGTGAGAGTAAGCAACCTTGCCTGACACCGGTCTTCACCTCGAACGGGTCTGTCAGCTCTCCTCCGTGAACGAATTCACAGTTTAATCCATCCTAAGAATTCCATATGATGTTGACTATCTTCTCAGGCACGCCGTAGCTTCGAAGAAGCCTCCATAGTGTTTTCCTGTCTATGCTATCGAATGCTTTCTCGTAGTCGATGAAAATGATGTAGAGTGGTGAATTCTATTCAATTGATTGTTCCACAATGACCCGTAATGTTGCATTTTGGTCGGTACACGAACTATCCTTACGAAATCCACCCTGTTGATCTCGAAGTTGGGTGTCTACGAAGTCATTCATTCTGTTTAACAACACCCTGTTGAAGACGTTGACTGAAATTGAGAGACAAGAGGTTCCTCCTTAGTTCTCACACTTGGTGAGATCGCCTCTCATTGGTATTTTGATGAGGTATCCTTCTTCTCAGTCTCTTGGTACTTGTTCGTCATACCAAATCTTGTTGAAGTTGCCGCCACGTCTGTTTACATTGCCTCTGCTGAAATGTTGTCTGGTCCCGCTGCGTTGCCACTCTTGATTTGTCTGATGGCCATACTGATCTCTTGAGTTGTAGATGCGCCAACACCGATTGGGAGGTCCGTAGATGCTGCTTCGATTTTGGGTGGGTTCAGTGGAGCTGGTCGATTCAGGAGTTCCTTAAAGTGCTCTACCGACCTGTTTCTCTGTTCTTCAGTCAGTGTTGCTGATTATTTTCCCTTCCTTGCGTTTCACTGATCGTTCTGGTTCACGATGGTTTCCAGCGAGCTTCTTTGTAGTATCATACAGTTGTCTCCTGTTTCCTTCTCTTGCAGCCTTTTCCGCCATCATTGCTAGATCCTCCACATATTTTCGTTTGTCGGCTCTGATGCTTTTCTTCACCTCCCTGTTTGCTTCTGTGTATTCAGCTTGTGCCGTGACTTTTTCTGCTCTTGTTCGGCTGACATTCATTCCTGCCTCTTGTTCCTCCTTTCTTCAACTTTTTCAAAAGTACCAACCGACATCCATTCCCTGTGATGGTGCTTCTTGCGACCAAGGACCTCCTGGCATGTTGAAGTGATTGCCTCTTTGATCACTTCCCAATTGTTCTCCAATGTTGCTTCCCCTCCATTGAGTAGATCCTGTAAGGAATGGAACTTATTGCTGAGGGCTATCTTGAATTCGTTGAGTTTTAAGGTATCCCGAAGAAAGGCCGTATTAAACTTCTGTGGTGTTGTCTACCCCGTTATCCAGTGCTTCTTTAGTTTCAGTTTCATTTTGGCGACCAGCAAGTGGTGATCTGAGACTATATCACCTCCTCTCTTGGTTCTCACATCCTCCATAGTCCTTCTGAACTTTTTATTGATACACATATGGTCGATTTGATTCTGAGTAGTGTGGTCTGGTAAAATCCATGTAGCTTTGTGTATGCGCTTGTGCGGGAATATTGTGCCACCGATGACCAGTTTGTTGAAGGCACATACGTTTGCAAATCTCTCACCGTTTTCGTTCCTTTCTCCCAGTCCATGTCGTCCCATGATGTCTTCATATCCAGTGCTGTCCATGCCAACCTTGGCATTTAGGTCTCCCATCAGAATCGTCAAATTCTTCTGGTGATCATCTGTCGACGATTGACTGCAGCTTTTAGCAGAATTGATCTTTAACGTCATCATTGTAGTCATTGGTAGGTGCATAACATTGGATGACGTTCATTGTAATGTCCTCTTTCTTCGTTTTGAAGGATGCTTTATTGATCCTGGGTCCATGAGATTCCCATCTTATCAGTGCGTTTTGTGCTTGTTTGGACAGCATCAGTGCAACTCCTTGTGTATGTAAAGCATTTTCCCCTTCATGACCAAAGTATAACAGTAGTTTACTTGAAGCTAGTCTCAGTTGTCCTACCTTCTTCATATGCGTTTCGCTGATTCCAAACACCTCCAGGTTGTATCTCCTCATTTCTACAGCAACTTGAAATAGTCTTCCAGTCTCCCACAATGTACGAACGTTCCATGTACCTAAAAGAATGGTTGCTCTGGTTGTCAGAAGAGACATCGGCCCCGTGACTTCCGAGGGAACTCGGCTTTCATCATGAGACGTCATAATTCTTCTTCCAACTCCCAGGGCAGAGTTAAAATAGTTTGATTTATTTTTTCTGGTTAGCGTTTTTTGTGGGATAGGGTCGCCAACCCCATACCCAAACCTCCTCTTTTAACCGGGCTTGGGTTCGGCAAAAGCCACAGAGGGGCTCCAGGCGGATTTAGTGTTCTGTTATGAACAATTTTCTTATTTGGCAGTAAGGTGCGAAATATGAGTTAACGACCACTGGAGTTAGGATTGAATCTTTTATAAGACGTTTAGATAGCATATTCATTAGACAGAGCTATTTTTGTGGATTTCACAAAAAAGTGGTGGAAGAATATGCCTAGTACAAGACACTGAGAAGTGTCCTACATTTCGACAAGCAGTACAAGCACATTCAATAATAAACAAAACTGTTCGTTTTCTTAAGTCTGTTGCTCTAATTTGAGGGTCTCATAGTTTTATAATGTATTAAAAGTTTCAATTCTTCTTCATTATATAAAATTATTGATGATCGGCACCAGAGAGACCATTTTCCCTCTTGCTAATACGTTTCATACTAGTTTGAAACAAGTTTTTATAGGACAGATGGATTGTGGCTGACAGTGTATCCCAGGATACACGTTTTTTTCTATTTGGGAGTAACAAGCTGTGTACCTGTATCCGTATCTACGTTCGTAGTTTATAAACTCTAAATAGAACAAAACATGAATCTTGGGTTACATCGCTAGCCATAACAACTTTTACTTTGTCATATCGATGAAATACGCACAAGATTCAGTATGTCAACTATGACTGATCAAAATTCAGCCAAGAATATCAACAGGATAACTTAAATCCTTACAAACGAAACTAACTTTTAATAGTTGGAGACCATCACCTATTACCGACGCTTTTGTCCAATCCTTCACAATTATTCGTCCCAAAGCCTAGGTCTAACTAGCCACTGTCAGTCGATTAGCTGTTTTTCTCTTATCTTATTGATAAATATATAGAGATACGAAGTTTGTAGATGAGCTACAAGCAAAGCGTGATTATCAATATAATGGCCAAATTTGTAACTACTTTCGAAAATTGTAACAAAGTACCAACCTGTAGACTAATATACTTCCAAGACCAGTAGTTAAAAGAAATGCTTCCCCACTAGGGTTCCAGGCGAATTCATTAATTTCTGAAGTGAACTGTTCGGCTTGTATCACTTTAAGTCCTGCACGCAAATCAAACCATGAAACCTAAAAATAGTAGTAACGTGCTAAATTTGCAAACAAATAATCAGGCTAATTACAGTTCGAAAACCATTACGGGAGTATCAACAACGGATAATAAGCACAATTATGAGTTCACGACATAAGTCAGGGACACGGTGCAGCAACTTAGAGCTCAGAAAAAGCTGGTCGACAATCGATTAAATATACATAACTTAGGAATCTAAACAAAACCTTTACCCAAATGAATGATAAGTAAATAAATGGAAATGCTAGAGACTTTGATTAACACGGAACAAATCGTTCGTATTGGTAAAAGAGCATTCACTTTTTTGCCATACTCTAGTACCCGAGAACCGAAATTTCCCTAAACCAACCCTCATTAAACCTGCGACTACTCATGAAGCACCAGCCGACAAACAGTATCCCACAACAACATCCTGAGTCTTCGTTTCCAGTCCGACCCAATTACTGCACATTTTATGTCAGTTTTGACGTTCGAATTGAGAATAATGACTTTGATGTTGGCTGACAGTTGTTTTGAGTTCCAGATGTTCTGCAATTGCAGAAACACTACCCTTGATTTATCAATCTGTGGCTTTACATCGGTGACAGGTCCCCCTTGTCTATCAATGATGCTGCCCATGTATGTAAAGGTTTCCACAGCTTCTACATCAAGTGTGATTTGGCTAGTTCATGCTGTGCTTTATCGGAAGATCTTACTTTCTCTCTTGTACATGTTCAGACCGACTGCTGCAGAGGTTACTGCCACACTGAATGTCTTAACCTTCACTTTTTTCTGCGTGTGGGATGGAAGAGCTAGGTCATTCAGGAAGTTAAAATCGTCCGGCTGCATCTGAGCCGTCCACAGCATTGCATGCTTCGCCTGATGTGATGAAGTCTTCATATTCCATCCAACCACCAAGAGAAAAAGAATGGGTGAGAGTAAGCAACCTTGTCTGACACCACTTATCACTTGGAATGATTCTATAAACTGCCTTCCACGCACGATTTCGTAGTATAATCGTAAGAGTTCTGGATGATGATGACAGTCTTCTTATAGACACCATAATATCGAAGAATTTTCCATGATATTCTCTTGTTCACATTGTCAAATGTTTTCTCGTAGTCAAGAAATATGTGTGTTTATTGTCGGTGTATAGCGGCAATTTCCATTTAATTGGCTGTTCCATAATAATCCGTAGTGTGACGACTTGGTCGGTAACACGATCGATCTATACGAATCCAACCTGCTGATCCCGATGTCGGGGGTCTAGGGAATCTGTCATTCTGTACAACAACACTCTGTTGAAGACTTTTCCTGATATTGAGAGTATCTTCATGTGGAAGTGGCCTACTTTCCAACCTGTCAGTACCTGTACTTTTTCCTAAATCTCCCTGAAGAGAACGTGGGGCATCTTTTCAGTTACTGCTGTCTGCTTTCAGCGCTTCGGCTGGAATGGTTTCTGGTCCCGCTGGCCTGCCACTATTGATTTTTCCGATGGCCGTGCCGATCTTTATAAATGTTGGAATGTCAGTCACGTAAAGTTCCTTCCACCTATAAGGAATGACCACGAGATCATTTTATTCCAGTTCATTTCCGATATGGTATGTCGAGCAGATGCGCTGTCCCATCCCAACACATGGAAGGAAAATATGAAGGCGACTAACTCTTCAGCCTTAATGGAAAACTGAAATATTGACTCCAAAGCAATCGTAGGAGAGGCATGAACTTAATTCCAGTAGTTATACATTCAAGTAACTCAACCATTTATACCCTAGACAGCTGCAGAGAAAAAATATGGTTATCCTTGGATGAACAGGAAGATTTTACGTTTACTATGACAAGAAAAAATGTTGGAACGTCGCCATCAACCTTGGCACAAGAAATAAAAAGAGGTGTTACATGCTGATAAGAAAAGCAATTACCACAATCTATAATCAGGTAGCTTAAAAGACTATTCTCGTACATCAAACAGCAGGGCGCCATTGGATTTTCTGACCATATTACGGAAGTTAGTTATATATGACATAGAAAGATCAGGCCAAACAAGAAGCTATGGTAAAATTTTCCAGGACAGTTTACACTTGAGAGCTTTTTCGAGACAAATGACTAGACCCAACTGCGAAACCACTAAATTGGTTAACCATTTTGGACGTAGGTCAGTCAGTTACAACTGAGAGCTTCGTACGTACGAACATCAGTTCAGGTTGCCACACCACAAAGTTCAAATCCCATAGTGGTAGATACTGTGGAAGAATAAATCCTAATGTATAAGATTACGACTCGAAGATATCATTCAATGAGTATAATTCAGTGAGATAACTTTAGAAGAGAAAGATAGAGGTGATGAGGAATTCAGAAGATTAGAATTTCAGAGAATATAAAGAGTGGATGCACCTGCACCGCTGCAAACGATTTTGATCCATGTCGATCAAGCTCTCTAACCATCGCTTTGGTTAGTAGACGGATATCTCGTCTACTCCGAAATTGACTCAAGTTCCACTCACATTTGGACCCCTAATACCGGTTTCCTTGATGAGTCGGAACAATGGTCTATTGTTGTTGCCTATAGCCGCTGCCTTTTCCATCACTCTTACTTTCTCCACCCACCACTGTTCGCTTTCATTGCACAGGCTTTTATCAGTATGCGCCTGAGCTGACTCCGCTTCTCATCGTCGTCAGAGCCAGGCGGGATGAGATTTGAGCGTCTATCAGTTCGGTAGATGCTACTGAGATCCACGGCCTCTTCCTAGGCTTATGGTTTACCTTACTATAAGATATCACTGCTGTTTTCACAGCCTTTTTAGTATCGTTCCAACCTGCCTTCGGATTGGAATCGCTTAAATGGCCGCCTAACATTTTTTCTAGTTGTTCCTGAAAAATATTCTTAGCTTTATTATCATTAAGCAGAACCCTAAGAGGTTTCCTTGCGGTGTCTTTCCTACGTCCAGTAAGCTTCAAACAAATACGCACTCGCACAAAGGCATGATCTGAATCTAAGCACGTGCTTCAGAACGAGCGACAGTCCTCTGTCGAACCTCTCCATCGGTGGCTGATGGCAATGTGATCTAGTCGGGTCCAGCGTTGAGACGACTTTGGGGGTCGCCAGGTCGAAAGATGCTCTTCTCTATGCCTAAAGTTAGTGTTTGCTAGAAATAGGCGATTATCTGAACACAGTAGCTACAGACGGTCGCCATTGTCTATTCAAATAGCCACGACACCATAACATCCACCAATGTGTCTTTCCTGCTCACTTAGTCTACCTACTTGATCATCAAAGTCACCACCCATTATTACTACATCAGAGCGCTTAGCTTTTTCGAGGAGGTCCGAAAAACTTTCTGTAGAACTCATCGTCTACCTTGTCTAAAGTGCAGTCAGTGGGAGCGTAGGCAGATACGACGAAGAGGCAACGATAAGTTTCCATATCTTTCCGAATCCTTACTGTCCCATTCAGTCGGACAGCGCATAAGCGACTGTCTACTGGGATCCAGTCAAGGAGAGCTAGTTCTGCCCTATGACTCAATACTATACCTACACCAGCGAGATCCCGGGAAGCAGCATCAGGGCTTCCAGATACATGAAGAGTAAATTGGGATGTTTCTTTATTTTGACAAGGTGAAATCAGATTAGTGATTTTACTAGGATCCTGTATGCGCGTTTCCGAGACGCAGCACACATCGATTGAGCGAGATTCTAAAGTCCTGGCTAATGAAGCCTGTTGCCCTATTTGACACAATGTCCGTACATTAAATGCTCCAACATGTAGTTTAGAACGGGGTTTCAGGAGACCAGGAATGACGTTTCGTGAACTCGCATCGCTTGCATTAGAGGTGCAGTGAGCTGCCTGGCATGGTAGAACCTACAGGAACATGTGTTCCAGCCAGTATAGCTCGGTCGGGTCATCACGATAGGCAAGCCCGACCACCACGTCAAGCTAGCAGCTACGGTCGGGTATAGCAGCGTGAACTAAAAAAGTTCTACATTGTAGCTGACTGACTGAACCTCAGCCACAACTGCACAGTAGTAAGCTGAGATCATATGATCACGGGTTACCAATACCTCAACATCATTGTGAGACCGGTCTACTAAAGGCATCGACTTTTTCCCAACGCTGTAACTATTCGTCTTTTTCTTTCCAATCTGCATGTAATAGAGGTAGCAGAGGTATAAGCAGTGATCGGAAAGATTAGGGTCCGAAGACATTATTCAAGAAGTATAACCCAGTGAAATAAATTTGTGAAAAGAAAGATGATCATCAAAAATTCAGACTAGAAGTCGAGACAACACAAATATCGGATGAATCTGCGCCATTGCAAATGATTTTGAGCCGTCTTTCAAAGTCTCCAACCATCGGTTACTATCATCTCTCGGGTACCAACCAGATAGTCTACACTTACCAACATGACTCAGTCCACTTGTCAGTGAGTTCATGGATTTATGCCTTTTTCGTCTGGCCGCCTCTAGCTTTCTTCCAACCTACTCCTACTTTATAAAACATCGTTCATCGATGGTTGGGCATACGTAATACATGTTATAACCACCTCAACTGATGAAGACTCACTAATTCATCAATCGATTTGCCATCCTCACTTAGTAACCTTTTTCTAACACAAGCATTGCTTGCTGAGTGGTCCCAGGATATACGGGCAATGCCTCGAAGACACTGATGGTCGAATACCCATAAACCATGACGGAGCGAAGGGGTTCTGAACTATATGGGCTTTAATATGGACATTTACTCAGTTGCATACTAGTATGTTAACTACACTTTATTCAATTCTAGTTAGATCCAGACGTAAAAACCGTGTTCAGAAAACTCGGCTATCTCACAAAAAGTAGAGAAAGCAGCTACACATACAGTTCCAGGATTCCATGTTTTAACATACACAGAGCGGCTTAAAAAGCTAGGACTTTACTCTGTCCTACCTTAGGTTAAGAGGTTATATGATTTTAATGTATAGAATACTAAACGCTCTTTGACCTGCTACATCCTATTTTTTCCACTAGATCAAGATAGCTTGAAGGACATAGCTCTGGAGTGCGAAAGCCAAGGACGAACAAAATATCCGTGGAACACGTGCCTTAACACCGAGTACTCAACTCTTGGGACCTGTTACCTATATGTGGTGTCAGCAACTCCAACCCACTTATTCAACGGGGGACTGGATACACTCAGAAGCCTGCTAGAAATAGATCAAACGCAAAAGCACCGTAGTAGGTCCTGTCTTACGGAAACAGGTGAGACACAAATGAGGACTACTGTCCCGTAAGCCTAACCAGGGTACCTAACCTCCTATCTTTAACAAAACTGAATCTGAACAATACTAAATTCAACAGGCCTGTAATGTGAGAAAAAAGATGTTAAAATCGGCATACCAAGTCTGTTTTGCTACCAACAGCAACGTAGCGTGCATCCGGTGACCATGCTAAGTTGATGTTCTCTCCTTTACATTGCGCTGTTATTGGGTCCTTTTTCGTCCGACAGTCCCACAAACGAATAGCACCATCTGCACCCACAGTTGCAACAATATCGCTGTCTGATGGGTGCCAACAAAGTTGGTCCACGCTTTCATTATGACCTCGGAAACTATGTACTTTTGTCTACAAATAAACAATAGAGAAAAATCTCAACTAACTAGTCTTGTGGATTCTAATGCATATATATTTACAAGCTTGTCAGATGATCCAGAGGCTAGTCTCAACCCATTACTATTCCACCCAAGAGTATGTATCTTTCCCCCGTAACCAGAGAAATCCTTGACACGTGGGTTTTTAGAAAAGTGACGTTTCAGCCGACTTAGTTCTTCTGAATTCATGTCGCTGGTTGGAAACAACTTAGGCTATAGGTGGAAAAACTATAAGTCGTTTTAACTTCGGCCTTTCGTAAACTTGAGTTTAACCGGAAGATACCTAGTGTGTTTGGGAATGAGGAGCAGCGTGTGAAGTGGTCTAGAAAAGGAAAGAACAAGTTAGAAAGTGATCAAACGACTTAGCAAACACAAAATGCTTTTGCGTTTATTAGAGAAATCAGCCGACAACAATTACAAATAACAAGCATGAGAATAAGACCAGGTAAGCATTAACTACAGTCGAATAATAACGACTGAAATATAAAAACACAGTCGCAGGTGCCCTGAGTAAAGTCAAATACAAAATATTGTCAAGGAGCAAAGAAATATCAATACTTTCCGGTAAGACGCTGTAGGATTTTCAGAGTATGGTTTCCGTTTCGTGAAGTGTTGTATTCGTTTGATGTCATTCCGAGTGTGCCTTGATATGTTGTCCAAGCACCTTGTAACTATATAGGATTTTGATGTACTTCATTATTAACGTACATGTCAGACATATCAAGTTATGACACTAGTGCAGTACAATAATGTCCTAATAATATTACCTTGTTTTGCCTTTGATCTCATTTATGTTGAACGTCTACCTGAACAAATGAGAAAAAATCTAAAATGCACAAGCACAATCACATACAACCAAAATATGCTCAACGTCATCATCACTGTAGGTACCTTGTGTGCTAGGGGGGGATGTGAGGAGCAGCGTATGAGATTATCTGGAAGAAGAAATAACAAGAGAAAAAGATGAGCCGACGACTCAGTAAGCACATAGAATGCACTTACATGCAATATACGAATAAATAGACAGCAACCAGATATAAATCCAGCGTGAGATTAAGGCAAACTAATAAACGAAACTAGGAGTTGATAGAGGTACGTTCCAAATGCGTTACAACGTTACCAGTTTTAAGTTGCGCTACAAGCAGACGGATCCTTGAAAAATCTCAAGGACGATAGAAATATTTCTATGACCATGACATCGACGATTCCCACAACAAAGTTTCGACAACTTCAGGATTGACCTGTTATGAATTCTCCACACCTCTAATGGCAGGAAGTCAAACTGAAGCTCGCGTAAATCATGTGCATCCTTTAAGAACTTCTTATCCTCTTCATTGTCTGTATAGGTTAGTGCCACTGAGCTAATTTATTGAGAAGGTTATTCGCAAAGATGATAGGTACATTCACTTTCCTTTTAAAATGCTTGTAGAAATTATCTGAATACTTGCATCTGCGATTTGATGTTACACGACTGTTCAAGGAACTTCATAATAACTAATTCTAGTTTGTCTAAGCTTTCAGTGACAATACTTTCCGTGAATTGAGGTACGTAGTTTGGAGATCGATGACCTTAGAAAGCGATAAGTTTGTAGAAAGCTTGTGGCGTCTCTGGAACTAGTAAGTGTCGCATCTGAGGACCCTGATTTGCTTGATTGTGCTAAGTAGGAAAAAGTCATTGTGAGGATAAATCGTATTTCACATGTACAATTGATATTCATTACTGACTTGGCCTTGAATATTCTCAATCTGAAAGATGTTATGTACAGACGTGTTGTCAAACTCTGAATTTCCCTAATGTCCTCAGGATTAGGAAATTTTTCTGGCCTCGTCATAATCCTTATTCTAAATAACCCAGCGAGGCCTAGTAGACCTTTGTGTGGTATTAAATTAACGGTTATTCATACGTAGTAATTTATGTGAATCTGTCTTACTAGACAATAAACAACAACTAAAATGTGATATTAGCTTGCTGACACTATTACTGTCATGTTTCATAAAGAAAAGAAACACGTGACTGGGTGATTACCAACTCTTAGAAACTGGGTAGATCTAGCAGTGTCCGCGTAAACTGGTTCAATACTTATAAGTTTGTCCCAACTGACTATCCACTTCCAGACTTATAGTCGCAGAAGTGGAACATAATTATGAAGAGAACACAATTGGTGAAATGGAAACGTTTATTATCGTAACCTATTCTAACAGTGACTGTTTAACTGTGCTTTTTGTTTGTAACACTTTACGTTCAAACTTTCTGTTTGTTTTTCTGTCATCTTTTTACTGAATGCAGCCCTCACTTTCCTGTCACTTAATGGAATGTTAGACAACTTCGCTTATTGATATTTGAAGAGTTTTTAATTTTTGTTCGTATAGTTGTGTCTAAATTTTCAACTGTAAGGATAACTGGCTATACGCTACCAAACTACGAGGATGGTTAAGCAAAAGGTTGGTGAATATATGAATAATAATAATAATAATACATATTTATTCTCAAATAACTACGTTACAAGAGTCACGCCAGTTTACAGGCTAGATCAAATTGTCACAAATGCTTTCACAATTACTGTAAAGTTATAGCAGTTAAATTAAGTATAAGAGTCAGTTTCTGATTGCATATTTACACCATGTCACTGACAGAAACAGTATTATACAGCCGCATTTTCAATAGTAGAGTACAAATAAGGAAGGAAGGTGCACAATAGGTTCTTTTGGCGATTTGCCGAGATCATTAGTGAATTTGTTGGGAAAGGTCATATGGAACGCGCTTGATACGAGCTGTGATCCAGACAGTCATTTACATAGGGTGCATGTTCCCTAGAGTCGCCAAGGATTTCCCATCGTGAATGGGGTTCTGAAAAGGAGATGAGAGAGAGAAAAGGCAGCAGTGTGCAAATGCATATATATAACCAAAGCACCACTTAACCTGTCATGTTGAAGCAGTCAATACAGTATAGTAAGTCAAGATAAAATTCATACTGACCACTTAAATTAAATTAAATTAAATTATGGGAATATAAGAAAATAACACACAGATAAAGGAGTACAGCAAAAAGAAGGAAGAGTTGTGCAGTGTCAGGTGGATAGAAGAGAAGTCGAAGTAAGAAGCTGGATTTATGTACGTTGAAATCGAAATTCTAGTTGAAAGAGTAGAGTTTGTAAAAAGAAAACTTTGATGAACAAAATCTCGCACTGTCTAACTGTTTTGTTTAATTATTATTATTGAATACCAACCTCTAAGTCATACTGTAAGCGCGTGAGTAAGAATGTTGCGGGTGTCTCGACAGAATAGCGACCTCAGCATAGTTTTGGAAACATGAACCACAGAAGTAGCAAGCGTATAAGAGCAACCTCAGTGTTACTGATTAGTCGTCTCATCAATCTAAAGAGCCGAAAGCAAACAAAATGTTCTGCCACACAAATATGGGTTGTTTTTCATGACCATCTGGAGCGGAGGACAGGCTCTAACATTAAGACCACTCCCACTGGGTTATGGGGAAATAATGCCAAGTTAACATAACGAAAACACAATCAGAACGCCACCATCATGCCCGCAGATGTAACCCTTAAAAAAATTGCACTTCAAAGAGCGAACACTCAGACACACTCCCTTTTAAGAGTTGCTCCTCACTAAGAATGTTCTCCAAACCTCTCATTGGATAGTCTTAAGAGGATACCTGACAAAAACGTGCTCGCTCGCAGGTGACCCCCTCCCGCTCGGAACAGTTGCACCTGAATTACCTGCCATAACTTACTTATTGTTGTCACTATCACATTACCAAATCATCGCTACATTTCTTACTATCATCGGTGTCCATTTTCTTCCCTACATATCAGTCTTTCCACATAGTCCGCACTACCAATAAACTAGTTTATTTGTTAAGTTTTTGATATAATCGTCCTTTCATAGCACTTGAATTTTCTCTTTGATGTTATTCACTTTAAGACCAACCAACTTCCTACTTGATTTCGTGATAGTCCCTGGGATCCAGAAACCCAACTGCCCCCAGGTAAAGGCTCTCATTTGAACTCCAGGGCATATGAATCCATACATAATTACTAAACCGACTAGAATTAGCTTTGTTGAGTAACCAAGTCATCGCCTATTGGATATTACCAATTATTTGAAGATATACTGAATTAATAAGAAACGAGTACAAAGAAATCGATCAGTTTATACTAACTCGTGACAAATATATTGGAGTATTGAGTGACCTCGTTATTCTCTCTTCACTGAGAGGAAACAATCCAGTTTCCGTTATCAGATTGAGGCCCATAAACATGACACAAGACAAAAACTTAGACTCTCTTCATCGGTAAATATTCGAAGTAACAAATAAGACAAAAGTAATCATGCCAAGTCATAACCACTGTGGAGTAGATCTAGCTGTTCTGATCGACTGCTCTCTTCAAATGACTCAGCCTACTGTTCAGAAAAGACCCAACAACGATAACTGTTATTAAGTTTACAATTACTCTTGCAGTTCGCTCCAACTTGCAAAGTGTAGGTCCATACGCGTCCCACCCAGTCCAAGTCCAAAAACGATAATTCTGGGAGAGAACGGTTCTGTATTTAATTAAAAAAGGGAATTCAGACAATTACCAAAGCAATATTACACCTTCGAGTTTCCAATTACCACAGTAGGTTCCGTTGCTGGAAGAATAAGTGCTTCCAGTCCGTTACTACTAGAGTGTCAAATCCAAATATGGCTGTAGCCATATTAAATATCAATTTTAAACAACGTATGCATAGTTCAGAAGGAAACATGGAAACTTCAATATAAGTACAAGATATAGAAATAATAACAAGATACAATGATAAAATCTCAAATGGAATCAAATAGAGTACCAAAATATCAACAGAAAGAGTCAGTCATATCATAACGCAAATATATATACATGGAGGGATTTTCCAAAAACAAAACCTTCAAAATAGATTCTACACCGGCCCGCAAAATCCCTTCATGCAAAAAACAAGCCCTTTCTGACACTTCACTTAAGGTTCACTATCATCCCCTAATCCACACCGGAAGAACGAGTAGGACTTACAGCAGTGCGCCTACCCGCCCTCCAACGTGGATATGACCTATCAAGCTATGTACCTGTACCCACCTATCAAGTCCTTGATTCCCCTATCGTGGAATGACCTAACGTTAGTACAAACGTCATCCAATTAACCCATATGAACATGTACAACACGTCGTAAAGCGGGTCATATCCTATTCGGGGTTTACTTTCCACATCATGGGGATGAGTCGTCAATCCACCACCACTTGCTCCGAACGGCAGATACGATGAAGTCCGTGATGCTGACTTATCAACAGAAGTTCTTGACCTATAGATAATATGTGAGGGTGGGATCCTCAATTTCGATATTTCCTCGTCTGCTGAAGACTCTAAGTGGCATAACATGGGAACAAAATTTACTCTCCATCTCCTGGTACAGAGGAGGTTTGATCAGCATTCGTCATCGTCGACAACTCATTTGTCACATCAGTGACATCCAGATTATTATCATCGTCATCACGATTCCGTTCTGTCAGACAAGTCACGTTGTTTCTGGCTACACTAAAATCCGTAGAGTGAAACTCTTCCATTGTTGTACAACTCATCTCGCTACATGAAAGAACAGCATTAGTTTCGCAATTCGAAACCGATTAATTCACTTGTTGTTCTTCATGCTAAGCTACCACTGCTGCCACTTACACTAACACTATCAATGTTTCTATGACTACTCGGACTAGTATGCGACCGTCCATCAGTTGACTGCAAACAAACATCCGCTGGAGGCGCTACGCTGCTATACTCTTTCGCTTCATTATTATGATACTCCTAGAACAAGATACAGTAGCCGGCAGACATCCTGATCGCGCAGCAACATGAAGTGCTGTGTCACTGTTTACGCTTGCTGTCCTAGGATCAGCTCTAGGTCGTGTCAAATAATTTACACTACGTGAAGGGTTCCGAACATAAGCTTCGTTCCATACAGTCAAACCCATTAACCTCTGTTAGCTCGAATCCAAATCACCATTCCTTAAATTACAAAGCTTACATGCTCGGTCCTCAGGAGGTGTAGAATCCTTCTTGAATGTTTTGTTTATGGAAAACCCCTCCATGTTTATATATTTGTGTGATGATATGACTGACTCTTTCTATTGACATTTTCGTACTCTATTTGATTCCATTTTGAGATTTTATGATTGTATATTGTTATTATTTTAAATGAATTTCTACAGTTGCCGTTCCAATGGGTTCCAATAGGGGCACTCCTGTACGATTCT